GGGTGATCCCGGATCTCCCCTCCTTCCGCCGCGCCCTTAAGACCTGGTTATTTCAGCAGGCAGGACTGGCCTAGGGGTATTTTAAAGGGGTTTTAAATTAAATTTTTAGTAGGAGCAGCCAAATCTGAATAGTTATTTTTAAATCTTTTTAAATTTTGTATTGTACTGTACTATTGTTTTAAACTGGCTGTAAGCCGCCTTGAGTCCTCCGGGAGAAGGGTGGGGTATAAATTTAATAAAATCAAAATCAAATAAAATCAAAATCAAAATCAAATCAAGTGTTGGCGCATTCACCGCTTCTGGAGGCAGGTTGTTCCACTGGTTAATTGTTCTAACCGTCAGGAAGTTTCTCCTTAATTCTAGGTTGCTTCTCTCTTTGGTTAGCTTCCACCCGTTGCTCCTTGTCCTGCCTTCAGGCGCCTTGGAAAATAGCTTGACTCCCTCTTCTTTGGGGCAGCCCGAGATACTGGAACGCTATCATGTCCCCCCTCGTCCTTCTCTTCGTTAAACTAGACATACCCAATTCCAGCAACCGTTCCTCCTATGTTTTAGCCTCCAGTCCCCTAATCATCTTTGTTGCTCTTCTCTGTACTCTTTCTAGGGTCTCAACATCTTTTTTACATCGTGGTTGAAGCCTCCAGCAGAAGGGATTTAAAAATAGAAGGTATGGCGACACTTGGGATCCATCTGAAGCTCCGCAGCTGTGACCTGGGCCAAGCCGTCTTCAATAAATACCAGAGGGAAAGGGGACTTGTAATTAGGCCGGCCCTGCGACCCCTTCCGAATGACCTCCAGCTGACAGGAAGGGGCCGTCTTTAACCAAGGACCAGCCCTGCCCTTCAGGGCTACAATTTGGCCAAAATAGCCAGTATCACTGTTTGTCTTTGGGGTCTGATAGCCCATGAATTATCTCGAATCCCCCCCCCCTTGCACTTCCCTTCCTGTTTAGCTGCTAAGGCCAGGATTTGCTTATTCTCCAAGCAACACCGCCTGTCAGGAGCTGCAGATACACCAACCTGCTCAGGCCATGTACATCTAGACTAGGGGTCCCCAACCCCCCAGTCTGTGGACCAGTACTGGGCCATGGCATGCCAGCAACCGGTCCGCACAAACAAGCAAAGCCCCATCCGTGGGATGCAGGCAGCACACAAAACCACGCACCCTCTGGTCCGCGGAAAAACCTTTCTCCACGGAACTGGCCCCTGGTGCCCAAAAGATTGGGGGCCTCTGATCTAGATGACAGATGACCTTTTGGAAAAGTCTGCTGAAAGGAATTACTGGAGAATAACCTCTCCCTCCCCACCCCACTCCCGAGGATATAGACCAAGAGAATGACAGAAAACGGGGACCCAACATAACTTTTACGATCCCACATGCCCAGTCTTCTCCCTCTCTCTCTTACATTACGGCCTCCCAAGAACAGAAAATCAACACAAAACAGCACAGGGTGTGGCAGGGATACATTTATGCAACCATCACAAGCATTCCCTCATCTGAACTTGTTTTTGGACCCTCGACCACAGGTCAACCAAAACCACGGTGAAGCTATTCAAATCCCTAAAAAGCCTACTGTCCATTCCTCGGCCTCCCTCCAGCATGGAGCCCCCCTTCCTGCTTACAGCCCCCTCCCAAATTGACCAAGTAGATGACCAGCTGACGTTCTGAGTGGCCCCATTTCCCTTTGCTTGGGGCTGTCGCAATCCGACCAAGAGGCCCCAGGGACCCCACACTGCTGGCTGGCTGAGCAGAGGTCACTGCCCCTTTCGGCTTTAAAGCAACGGATGTCGGAAAGTCAGGGCAGCCCAAGGAACAAACTGATGGAGCCTGGAGGACAGAGGCTTCCAGCTCAGGTGGAGACGAGCCCAGCAGGGGTTTCCTAAGAGGGCCGCATTTTTATTAGCACAGGAGGTGAACCCTGGAACAAGAACACCGGACCTGCCACGAACGTCCATTCCAGCCATCGGCAGGGAATCTTTGCCTTGAACAGGATTTTGCCTCCGGAAGCTTCTCTTTCATGGAGCTCTTAAGCCCACATCACAAGCATTCAGGGCACTGCGAGTACCTCCAGGGTGGCATCGGGATTTAAACTTTACCAGGAAAAAAAAATCCAAATTGTCAGTGAAGATCTGCAGCAGAACGTCAAGTAATATATACATTTCAGGACTGAATTACGACCAGTGTGCAGAGAGCAGAGAAAGCTTCAGAGTTCATTGTGCTGAAGGCCTCTAGAAATTCGGCTGGACAAATCTTGCAAGTGTTTCTTGACCTGGAAGGACAAAATAGATTTTATTCATCCTAAATAGATTTTGACCTTTTAGTCATAATTTAACTTAATTTGTTTAGTTTACAAACAAATTTCAAACAACTCTGCTGTTTCACTTTTTAAAAAAGGTGTAACATGTCTGGCTCCAGGATTTTAAAACTACAGGACATGAATTTATAAAGTAGAAAATAAAACAGATTTTTCATTAAGGTCCACACTCAGTTTTTAGTTTCTAAGTAAAAACATAAAACTTCCTTTTCTTGCTTTTAAACTGGGCATTTTTTAACTGTATAAATCCCAACCACGAGGGCATTATTATTTTTATTATTATTATTATTATTATTATTATTATTATTATTATTATTATTATTATTAATTAAATTTATATACCGCCCTATCTCCCTTGCGGGACTCAGGGCGGTGAACAGGCAATACTAAAAACCACGAATAAATAAATAATTTCTGTTTTAAAATCAAATTGAATAATAGGCCTGTTCTAAAAACACACCCATACAAAACCCCCCACTGAAACATAATCCAAACTACGCCAGGCCGGCCGCACGGAATAGATGGGCCTTCAGGGCTCGGCGAAAAAGGCGCAGGTCCGCAACTGTACGTAGGTCGGGGGGGTAGGTCATTCCAGAGGGCAGGAGCTGCCACAGAGAAGGCTCTCCCCCTGGGGGTCGCCAGCCGGCATTGTCTGGCCGACGGCACTCTAAGGAGGCCCTCTCTGTGGG